TATCCTGAATTTCTTTCGTCTGCTCATCTCTCTCCTCTTCTGATATTCTACTTCCAGATTTTCTTCACTCCAACACTTGAATTACGATTTAGTGATCCCTTTATAACGATGATATATACATTGGCGTAAGGATTCTTAATTACAGTAATTATTTTCTGCTGTGGGGTTTCTTCTTGAATTTCATACTAATTCATGAAATCCTAAACCTTCCTTCCGTGTTTATGTAATCATTTGTGGTTGCGCGAATTTGAATTCCAAACAAATGCAGGAAGTTTGTTGGATTCAGAGTTGTTAGATCTATATACGATCAGGGATTTGATGAGCTAATTGGAAAAGAACAATTAAAAAAAGACTGGGTGAGTTTTTTGTTTAATTTAACGGGTTTAATGTTAGTCCATAAATTAATACTAATGATTTTTATATTTCCTCTATATGTGAATGAATTTTTTTGTGAAGTATTAGACTATTACACTATGTTTGGTTCAAGGAATTTGAAATGGAAAAGAAAAGAACTTGAGATGGAAAAATAGTGCTTTTTGTTTGGTCAGAGAGGAAAAGAAAAGAAAAGTGGAAGGAAAAGAAGATGAGAAGCAAAATGTGCAAAAAGGAAAATCAAATTCCTCCCATTTTGGGGTGGAAAATGAGAGAAAATCATTTTCTTTTCTTTTCCTTCCGAATTCCTTGAACCAAACATAGTGTTAGTGTTCTTATTTTGGGATTGGACTTGTGTTTTACTCCTATGGAGTATGATTTGTGATTTTACTTTTGGTATTTTGTGTTTTATATACATGATCCAAGTTCAAACATAATATGCAACAAAAAAAAAGGAGTGAAACTTTAACCAGTTTTAGTTAGCCCAGTGATCTTTTAAGAATCAACACATCTATTATATACTTATTGCTCCACTAGCATTTAAATCACTTTCATTTATATCATGTCTTCATGCATAAGATGCGAGTCTCTCTCATTATGTTGATTCTTTTTTATTACCTAAGATCAAGTTATTACCAGTTTAATGGCAGAGGGAGCTTTCAGATGCCATGAAGAAAAAGATTCATACAGAATAGGATGCTTCTGGGGCAAGGCAAGATAAGCCTCTCCTGACTAGGTAAGAAAATCTACACTGCTCTGTTTAATAGTATGAATCATCTACTGTATTGGTAAAAGGTTTACAAAGGATAAATGCATGTGGTTTGAGAGTAAGCTTCAGAAATTTTATTTGTTGCATGGTAGATCATCATGGCGATATTCAAAAAAGTATTCATTGCCAATATTGTATTTGTTTGTAATACGGAGTATATCTTTTGTAGAGCCTTATGAGTAGGGTTGGATATTTCTTTTTCTTATTCTTTACTACGTATGAACGGTTATATGGTTATACCTGGCTCTTTATTTAGCGGGACCTCTCTGGTTGTGAATTTGTGATGAAGTGAGAAGTCATCTTTTCCTCGTCTTATATTCAACTATTGCCAAAATGGTTGAAAACATGTTTCCCTACCCATACTTGTTAGCAATACAGCTTTTTAGATGATTCAAATAATTCAATGTAAATTAATAGTAAGAAAATCCACCCTACTCTGCCATGCTGTTCATGCAGTTGCTAATCTTTATAAGGTGAAATCATTTAATGTAGGCAGAGTTAAATGGTATATTTGGAAGATTAGTAAAATTATGCATGTTGTTCATTAACTAAAGTTTTTTTCGGGGGCTTAGTGGTCGCTAAAATGCCAATTAATTTGGGAGTCATTCTTAATAGCAGACCGCTATTTGGATAACATCTTGTTGCTTGCCGGAAAGCGCTCATATCTAACATTGTATCAGGTCAACTGTGTGGGAGGCACAAAAGCACATATATGCTTTAAGCTCGAGAAATAAATCAATACAAGAAATGACCAAGCAGAAATGTAACAAAAGCTTTGCTTTGGGTTCATGAATTAGCTGGTGCCTTGCAGATTCATCATTGGTAAGCCATTTCTTAACTATTCTTTCATCACTGATTAAAATAGTTACTGTATTATTGTTTCATTACTCAAGTGGGAAAATTTATTCTTGGATTTTTATGTTTTATTTATAGGAATTAAGACTTCACAATATTTCCAAATTGCTGGTGCTTATCCCTAGATTTTTATGTTACATTTATGGGAATACAGACTTCCTAACATTTCAAATCAGCTTCCAATGGTGCTTATATGTATGCTGAATTTATATATGTGCAAGCTTGAAAAATGTCTAAAGTTCAATGTAACTGTATGCACAACATGACAGTATTCACTACTCACAACACTGCATGTGAATATTCCAATGTCTATCCCATACAATTACCATTTTGTTAACCTCACCAAAAAAATGTTCACTGTCAATATGCTCTGCTTACTTTTTATTGTATGTTCTATGGACCAGAATTTGAGAACAACTCTACTGTAAAATGTTTTTTTTGAAACCATGTATGTGAGTCACTCTTTAAGTCATTGAAAATAGTATTCAAAGACCTAACAAGTTTTCATTCTTGTAGGAAAGTTCATTAATCTATAAAAATTGTACAAGATTAAGTCAAAATTATCTATGGTAATGACAACACTTTTTTGTAAATTTAATATTTAATATAGTTATGCCTTTCCCTTTCAGAATATACTCTATGTTACCATACTGATCATTTTACTGTGAGGAAATTGTTAATTATATCAAGCTGACACACATGTTGGTCATGTATGACTCAGTGTCTTTGGGTTAACCCAACAAGTTAGGTGGTTTTTTTTCTTCTAATTACTCCATGTCTTGGAAATTTTATTCACACTTTCCTTTTTGGGTTGTTCAAAAATTTTCTTCTCATTTCCTTATATGGCAAATTATTTTGTATTAAAAGTCTTATTTACCCTTGTTATCCACTCTCGTTACTCCCCACTGAACCCTAGATTTTATTTTCTTCCTTCACTTTACCGTCAGTTTGAGGTGCTGCCATATCTTCTTCTCCTTCATCCTTTCTTCAGAATTCATCTTTTTCATTCCTCTCCCTTCAATTCTTCATCTCCCTTCAGTTTTCTAAATTGTTTCCGCCATCCATAGTGGATGCGGTACATGGGGCGTTGTTCGACTTCAACAAGATTTACTCCATAGACGAGCGGTAAGCGCGAAGGTCAGAGCAGAAGTGGCGGAGGGGTGGTGCAGCGGCTGGCGGGGGCTGGTACATCAAAGAAGGTTGTCAGTGGTGAGTTTCTGACATTCCAGCAGCCACCAAAGATTGGAGCCTCTGGTCCTTCTGTTTGAATTGAAGCAGCAGCATTGGGAAATTGATTCTTGGTTTTTCTCTGGTCGGAGCTGCAAAAGCTGCCACGATCTTCTTCTTTCTTCCTTCCTTCAATCAGAATAGGTTTCTGAAAAAAATAGGCCGGACTTGTTTTTGTCGGGTCATGGGTGTATATATATCACCCTCGTTTTAAAAGTGAACTACAGTATTATTTTAAATCCATATTTTATGATGACATTTTGAAAGTAAGAAAGAAAAAGGAATCAACAAAGGCGACACTGCAAGAAAAATTAGATAAGAAATAGTTGTCCTAAAAGTTTTCATAAGGTTTTAAAAACATATTTAGAACATTTTCAGATCCCGGAAAAGATGCTTCGGATGAACTTCAGTACATCATTGCTCCATGTACTTTTCTTCGAATAGTGATTCACTCATTGTGACTAAACATGAATTTTTTATACATAGACAAATTTCTATGTATTTTTTTGTTATAAAATAAATCTGGTGTTTGTGTGCCATTGAAATATTGAATAAATAAATGATCAGAATAATATTATCTGAGAACATAATCCATCTTGTGAATTAAGATGTATAATGCAATATTAGTTAGTTCCTTATTGGAGAAGATTGTTAAGGGAAAGCATACTTCCTCCGTCCCGCAATCAAGTTTACGCTTTGACTACACATGGTTCAAGAGATGTTAAAAAATGAAAAGTGTGGTTGGAAATGGTGTAGTAAAGGAAAGTGTAAACTTCATTTTGGAACACAATCAAGTACCTTTATTATATCTGTAGTTTGTTTGAAATGGATTATTAATTCAAAGTGATCGAGTAGTTGGTATACAAAACTTCAAACATCGTGTTATATGCATCATTAATAGAAAAAAATGTTCTTAACTTTACATTCAGGTTTCTGCGGCACCTCTTTTCACTGCACAATGCAAATTCATCTTTTATTCCTCCTTTTGAACTTTCAGTCATTATACCCTATCAGCAACCACATGCTTGCATTCAAGGTTGGTTTCTCGGCTCACAAATGCAGTATTCAGGAATGCCATTTTCTCCCGATCATGAGATTCATTTACCATTTATTGGTGGTTTCTAAGGTAGCCCCTTCCCATCTCAAGAGGTGATCCACCACGGTCAGCTTTTAGATTAAAGACGGTAATAAAATTGAGTTAATTGTATCTATTACTTGTTAGATACGTATTGTTGACAAATTAATAACTAATTAAAGTCTAAATTTTTTTATCTTCTAATATTTAACAAACTATACTAAAGATGGGCTCTAGTCTTCACGTAGAGTATTTCTAGATATTTTTGTTTCCTAATTTAGAAGAAAATTTCCTTAGAAAATTGATTATCATTGGCGCTTGTGAAACCGGATATATACTTGTTTGTCTTTTTCCAATCCTCGTTTAGTACATGCTTGTTTCTTCAAGTGCCTCGCGTTGAAGAACAACTTAGACAAAGTTACAAATATAATCATGATTCATTTGCACGATCAAAGTAGTTAATTTACCATGAGTTCTCATATTATATGCTACCTCCGTCCTAGAGTATTTGTTCAATTTGATTTTTTCAACTCAAACTACACAAACTTTGATCATTAATTAAATAAAAATTTTATAGTATTTTTGTATCCAAATAATTTCATTAGATTTATCTTGTAAAGGCTTTCAAAAATTTATTTCATTGTATTAATATGTAAAACGAATTTAATGTAATTGGAAATTAAAGTTCGTCCAGCTTGACTCGAAAAAATCAAACTGAACGAATGCTTTGGAACGTAGGGAATATTTATTAGTAGCTCAAATGTGGTAATTGAATAAATGTCTAGTGCATAAAACAAACATAAATATTGTGCGTCCATACATGGATTCGTTATGATGCCAATTTAGCCTAGCGCAGACGTGCATTAAGAAGTTGTCCTCTCTCATTGTGTACCTCTAAAAGCACATAAATACAAATACATAGAGACTGCACACATCACATGAGATTATAAAACATTAAATTATATGTGTAAAACAATGATAAAATTTAGAAGAGCACAAAATTTACAAGGAATTAAACACGGTGTACAAATGTGTGATGCACCAATCATATACTCCCTCCCCTTTCATATTTAGTCTTCCCTTTTGTGTCATTCCTAGACAGTCTTTGCATTTCCCTTTTTAAATGTCTTCTTTTCTAGAGGAAGTGAGAAACTCTAACCATACACTTTTATTTTCTTAAGTTATGCTGAAAGTCAAATTGTGTAGATCGAATAGGAACAGGTGGATTACTTTTTGGGTTAAGTTCTAGTAGGAAGTCTAACATTGGATGGGAAAAATAAAGATAAATTTTGAAGAGTCTCAAATATAAAGAAGAAAAAACAATGGATTGCGTGAACACATTTTTTATCGGGTTATGGTGCTATTATTTGTGACATATTTTTTAGGGTATTTGGGACTTATATAATTAGTTGGAATAATAGTAACGTGATTACCTAAATTTAACGAGCTATAGTATTTAAACTTTTCTTTTAGCTTAAAAGAGTAAGTTTCAAAACTCCATAATTTACTACTCGACCCATCCCATTTTGTCGGGTTGAATTGCTTTTTGCACGGATATTTAAGAAACAAATGATATTTGGTTGGTGTTCCTATTTTACAATTCGAAACAATGGGTAGCTTTTGTGAATAGTCTTGTAAATAATGTGAATGTCATATCAATTAAGGTTTGACTGGAAAGCACAGAATGGGGAAGCCCAAAAAAGAAAAGAAGACATAGTTGTGGAATAAACTATAAAAAGTGTTGTGTAAAACGGGACATGCGGATTAGGTATTTTACATCACATTTAATAAACTTCTTTTTTCAAGAAAGTTGATTTTGTCTTTTAATAAAAAGTATGTGTGTGTCACTAATTATTAATATTATTATTATTATTATTTATGAAAGTGAAATGAAGGCGGAATGAGGAGTCTGAGTTTTCTCATACATGCGTCTTCTTATACATGCGTCACTTGAAGAAAGATGTGCTAAATGTGTATTGAAAAACTGAAAAAGGCACACAAGTATTTATTGGTTTCACAAGCACTATTGATAATCAATTTTCTAAGGAAATTTTCTTCCAAATTAGGAAACAAAAATATCTAGAAACACTTTATTTGAAGGCTAGAGCCCATCTTCAATATAGTTGGTTAAATGTTAGTTTAGACTTTATTTAGTTGTTTATCTATTAGCAATACGTGTCCAATGAGTAGTAGATAAATTTAACTCATTTTTATTTTCAGATGAGATCGTACCAAGGCTTCCGTAATTCTCACGATGATTTGCCAGTGTGCTCCATTTTCAATGATAGCGTGCCTAGGGAGTTGATGGATCTACTAAGTACTCACCTTAAAAAACCTCGTGTGCTATATACGGAGTATGTATTATCTGCATTGGATTACACTGTGTTACATCTTACGAGTATATTGGAAGATGGATTGTGTTCTCAGATGATATTGTTCCAATCATTATATAATCAATGACACAAACAACGATATTTATACTTAATCAGAAATACATAGGAATGCTTCTCTGCATTAAAAAAACAATGTTTAGGCTTAATGGGCGAATCACTATTTGAAGAAAAGTACAGGGAGCTATGAAGCATGGGAATTTTTTTGTAGTAACTTTTGTTCGTTTCAAAATCATTCTGTAAATGTTTTAGAACTTAATGAATTTTTTAGGATAATTCTTTCTCATCTACTTCTTTTTATACTATCGTGTTTCCTACTTTCTGTTTCTCACATTTTTGTATCCATACCAAATAGCAATGAGGTAAAAGAGATAGATATTTAAATGTGAATTTACTGAATTGACTGAATTCTAATGTTTTGTTCTCCTATGGTATATAATTGTTGGGGCAATGAGCAGGTAGCGAAGTGCGTAGATCCCAAATCAGCTAGAGCAATTGTGTTTTTGGAGCCAAAAAAATTGATCCATGCAAAGCCATCTTTTCATGAAAAGCTTCTTTTTAGCTGCTGGGTTGTTAACTCTTTGTGTTGGTTGTAACATGGCAGTCTGAATTGGCAGCATAAGGTCTGCCGTAGTCCAAAGCCCAAGCCTGAAATCAATACCCTTTTTGTAGACCATACTTGTGGCCAACGAAATGATTGACAAGCTTCATCATCTTTCAGTAGCAATTCTATGATGACTTCCACACTGCCTACTTTGGGAGATTTGCACCCTCTATGTGTGGGGGGAGGGCAGACCCACACCTTAAGGAACACTCGCCTGCTTCAGGCAGGCTCGATGCCCTAAATGAAGCAACGGGCTATCCGATTGTCGTTTCTGAACCTGTACAGAAAGTGTTGGAACATTCCATGATCTCCCAACAAGGTACTCAATGAGCAGAAGATTCTAATGCTGATTTTATGTGATTTGCTGCCTTGTCTCTTATTGATGAGTTAGTCTTTTATTTAATAGTAATTTGTTAAGGGTGCAGGTGGCGTTCCTCGTTCAGGGGCGTGAAGAACCAGTGGTGATAGTGATTAGGTGTGAGTCTCCTTGATCACCCGTGGCATCAGACGAGAGACTCTAGAGTTCAAAAGTCCGTGACAATTGAAAAAAGTTAATTTGAGTTGAAAGGTGATAATTATTATAAATTGTTTGGTATAAATTGGATGGAATCCTAATACAGCTCGACTTCGGAAATGCAATAACTATAATTAAAAAGAACACTAAAACATAACTAGGACAACTTGAATTGAAGTAGGACTGTAGGAGTATTCTGTCCATAGTAACTTCTGAACCCGATTGGTGATGTTTTGCTTGACGCTAATTGCTTCAATTGATATCCATATTTAACTTTTTCAAACTTTGAATAATTTAGTCATGGATATTGAGTACAACATCAACAAATCTTGTACGTCCCTACTCCGTTAGGTCTGGGGTGACCATATTTTTTCTTCTACCCGGATGGGGTGGGTACATGGTAGGTCAGGCTGTGGATGTAGGCACTAGCCACCCCTGAACCACCTTTACCCATTGCCATCTATAAGTGTATTTGTGGGTTCAGTGCAACATTGCATTTTGTGAAGCTGAAACCTTTTTTCTATTTTGCAGGGTGGACACATTTACCCATTGCCTGTAGCAAACTGAAATTCTTCTTCCAACACACCTTCGTTCATTAATTCTTCCATATGGGTTTTCTTCTGCAATTGTAAGGACAGAGTATGTTATATTTGTACATTAACAATTTCTAGTTCTTGTCATAGTTAATTAAGACTGCTTACTAATAAAGAATACTTAGAAAAGTCTTAAAAGCAAACTCAATTAGAGCCTGTTCTTTATGGCTTAAACTCTTAACTTCAAGTTTCTTCCAGTTCCTTCCAGTATCATATTAAAAAATTATGGATAAAATAGTTACATATAATGTTTTATTAATCTAACTTTATATAAGACCTCTCACCTTTCTCTTTATTACTCAAAATTTTCTCAATTTTCTAATTTTTATAAAAAAATTGAAAGTCAAAATAGTTTAGAGAAAAAAATTGAAATAGGAGTAAAACATAACAAATGAAAAAAAAGTTCTATGTCTTTATTCCAAAAATAGGACTTACAATAAAAATTAAATGTCAATTATGAAAGAAAAAATAGGTTTGATTACATTATGTGACATGTCTGATATTTAAAACAAAATCTTGTAATATATAAAGTATAATTATAAATATATTACATATAATAAATACTGCATAAATAAATTGAGGTGCAACATAACCACAAAAACTTCTTAAAATTTAACATTTTGATATTTATGCTAACTTTATATTTTTAATTATTTTTTTTGCAAAAGTAGTTTTTTGTATTTGAAAAATAACAATACTTTTTTATATTAAAGACATTCATTAAGATAATGTGATGATGATGATAATAATAATAATAAAAGTAATAATAATAATAATTTATAACAACAAGAATTAGAATCAGAATAATATAAAAATACACTAAAATGAATTTTTTAAAGTTTTTTAGGTTTTCCAATATTTTTGAAGTTTTTCTAGTTCTTTCCAGTCCTTCCATTTTTTTCTAGTTTCTTCCAATTTCTTCCAGTTCTTTCCAGTTTCTTCCAGTTCCTTTAAGTTTCTTTAAGTTTCTTCCAGTTTCTTCGAGTTCCTTCTAGTTTCTTCCAGTTTCTTCCAACATCCAGCTCTTTTTTTCAGTCCTAAAGAACAGGCTCTTAGTGTGAATACCATCATTTGAAAGTGCCCTATATTTACTTTAAAATGTGGAAAGAACTAGTCAAATATTGGAAGACATATTGATGTGTTCAGGTCTTTTTTAACGTGATAACGAAAACCACCGGTTGATTATGAGGTTTCAAGACTTCCCTGAGCCAATAGCTTGGGTAGGTTCTCTCACACCTCCACATTATCTGAATGTAGTAACATGAAATAGAGTGAATCACCTAACCTTCAAGGTTGTTATTTGCCTTCTTGGTATTCCCTCCGTACCATAAAAAGGTTCCACGTTTGATTTAGCACGGAGGTTAAGAAAAGTGAAATTGTGTGGTTGTAAGTAATGCAGAGGAGAGAAATTATAAGGGTCACAAAATTATTTTAAAAAATGGAAAGTGGAACCTTTGTATGAGACTGAGTAAGTAATTAGGAAAACTTGCAATTGAATCTCTTAAGAGTTTTATAACTCTCATGAATTTCATTTAGCATAAATTCTCTTACAAATGGGAAATGCATGTTTATTTACAACCCAACACAAAAATACAAAGTGATTAGCATAAATAAAATATACAAACATCTTGAGAAGTCTTATCATCCACTTCCATGCCCTTCAAGATTGGTGTCTCCCATCTTCTATCTCTTGACAAAATTTGTCTTTGAGCAACATAAGATTTGCTCATTCTTGTCCCTGCCATATTATGATAATTGTTACTACGGTATTACCCTAATAAAGCCTCTATATAATAATTTCTTTGGCTCTCTCACCCACTTTAGTCTTGAAAATCTTTGCAAATATCAGAAAGTATTCCGTAAAGAATTTTGAGATTGTTTTGAATTACATACAAGACAAACAAATTTTTAGGAAAATAATTGGAGACTTTCAGGCAAAATCTGGTCTAGCACCTGTGGTGATAATTATCTCTATACCATAAGTTTTCAAGTTTGAGGTTGTTTGAACCCTTGAGCTATTTTTTTACCTAAACAAATATGGAACGTTACAAATTCAAACTTGCTCAGGACATGATAAACATGTTTATAGAAGTTTGGAGTCAAGTGAACCGGCCTGGGATCTGTCATACTACCTCCCTTTGAATTTTGTTTTCGTTGTAAATTATTCTGAAGCATTTCATGCTAATCAGATTGTTATACTAGCTTATTTACATTTTCCCATTGTTTGTTAGCAGATTATCTATATTGTATACACACATTGAAGTTTCTGTCACTGGTGGAGCATTTAGACAAATTTGATTGCAAAGGTAATTGATATTTTTGAAATTTGTATTTGGGGTATGGAAAATGAGTGTTAAAATGAGTTTGAACAAAGATCTAGCATTTATTTTGATTGATTTTGACCTTCCAAATTTTCCCTTGATTTTCTTTACCCAGCATTTTCCAAGCTCAAAGTTTTCGTTTCCACATTCTACCGGGTAATTCTGATGCAATTGGACTAGTTGTTCGACTCGAGGCAATGAGTCGAGTACCATGTGGCAACCTTGTGCTAAAATTCAAATGACAAAGATCTACATTTATTTAGAATTGATTTTTGACCTTCCAAATTTTCCCTTGATTTTCCTTACCCAGCCTTTTCCAAGCTTGAAGTTTCCATTTCCACATTCTACCAAGTAATTCTGATGGAATTGGACTAGTTGTTCGGCTCCAAGCAGCGAGTCGAGTACCATCTGAATTGTGGCAACCTTGTGCTAGAATTCAAATAACAAATGATTGAAGTGACACAAATATGAAACATGTCATTGCATGCTTTGCTCTAGGAAAGACTGACTTTTTTCTTCTGTCGGCACCTGCTAGGAAAGTATCTTTGTTCAGTATGAACACATTTAAGTTAATGCTATCATTTTCCCTTGTTTTTTGTGGCCTGCTTAAAATATTAGTATATTGCTTTAAGTACCGGCATATATGATGGATCGATTTTTATTTTTTATTTTTGTTGTAGGGACGTTCGGTGGTAATGCCATGTGCATCCGCTACAACATGCCTTGCCTCTCTTCCTTAAGATAACACAACGTTGTTGCTATTGGCTTGGATCAGTCCTACACTTCCTCAAAGTGAATGATGAGCCCTACACCATCATAGCTTAAGCCATAAAGTGTGCATTCACTAGCCAGGGAAAACCTGCAACTACATTTTTGTCAACAATTCTCTACACAACAATAGCAACTAATACTGCAAACACCTAAACCGAACCGGACCTTATAGTTTTTGTATTTGGAAATTAATTGAAATTAGCAACTACGGCAAACAACGTTGTTATCTTGGGGAAGAAAGGCAAGGCATGTTGCAGCGTGAGAACATGGCACCAACACCGAATATTTTTACAACAAAGTAAAAAATTGGAGATATGCTCATCATATATTCATTTCTAATCTTACATACCGATATTTTAAGCAAGCAACAGAAAATGACAAAAGGGAAAGAACGATAGCATAACCTTAAATGTGGTCATACTGAACAAGGACACTTCCCACCAGGTGCTGACAAAAGAAAAAAGTCTGTCTTTCCTAAAGCAAAGCATGCAATGGCATGTTTCATGTTTGTCTCACTTAAATGATTTGTCATTTAAATTCTAGCACAAGGTTGCCACAATTTAGATGGTATTCGACTCGTTGCCAGGAGCTGAATAATTAGTCCAATTGCATCAAAATTAACAAGTAGAATGTAGAAATGGAAACTTCAAGTTCGGAAATGGTTGGGTAAAGAAAATCAAGGGGAATGCTGGTAGGTCGGAATAAACTCTAGATAAATGCCAGATCTGTGTTCAAAGTCATTTTAATAGTAGTATGTTATATATTTCTACTTTATTACAACAAAGTTACTCTATATAATCCCAACTCTATTGTAGTCTTGTGATCTAGATATGCAACAAGTTAACTCAACTTTGTTGTTATCCCAATATAGAGGTTCTGTTGGATGTCGATTCTTGGGAAGTATATATACTCCAGTCGTCCTTAACATGATTTTTGTTGCGAATTAAGATGCATGATTGAATTTATTTTCAATTTATATGAAAATTGAGGTAAGTTTTTAAAAATAAAATTTATATATTTAAATTACATCAAAAGTTCACCTATCTATATAATTTATCAATTATCTTGGATTATTAGTATGCCAACAATCAAGTTTTGTTTACAAAAAATCAAATTTGTTTGTAGACTGAAAAACGTTTATCTAGTACCTTAACCATTTGCAAGGAAAATACATTTAATATTATTGTCCATACAAAAATAAAATATGGGGGAAATACTTAACTTAATCGGATTGAAAAATCTCTTTGAAATTGTGTAGGCTTACCCGTCTGAGGTTGTAAACAAATCGAATATTCATAACTATTATTTGTATTCGTCAATTTTGGATGATTTTTTGGGTTTGGTTCGAGTTTTTTTGGAGATTCATATTCGATACAGCTACTTCCTCTGTCCACAAATAAACTTCTTGTTCACTATTCATAGGGTCAAACTTTATTTATTTTGTTGGCATATTTTCTTTACCCATTTGATAAAATAATATAGTCATTTCACCTCTAGTTTTGTAGATTTTTTGGTGTAATTTTTTAATATGTAATTTTTTTAAGTTTTACACCATTTTTCATATAAAATGATTTGAAAATAATTTTAGTCAAACATCGTAACGCGCAACGGGAAGTTTATTTGTGGACGAGAGAGTATTATACAAAAACAATATTTAGTTTGTTTAATTTTTTAAATATCTTATAAATATTTAATATATTATATCTGAAAAATTGTGCTTCGTACTTCTATTGTGCTTCGTGCTTTTTGTTTTTTTCTGGTACAAAAAAAGTACTCCCTCCGTCCAATAATTTCTTTCTCACAATCTTTTTTGAGTTGTTTAAAAATTTCTTTCATGTTTCTTGTTCTGACAAAAAACTTTTAATGAATGTGTAACTATACCCTTAATTTTTATCTACACTATTCACTACATTTCATCACATCAAGGGCAACACATGAAAAATCTTTACACCTTTTAACTTTTTTTAATCTCCAAAGTCAAATCGGGAAAGAATTTTTTAGACGGAGGGATTTTTTTAATAATTAAAATACATCAAAAACAAAGTAAAAGTGACAAAAAATAACTTGATATAAACTGAATCTCTCAAAAATCGAGGCATAAAGAGACAAGTCACATTCATCTTTTTAGACGATCCTCAAGGAAAGATGTGAGCTTCAATATATACTCCCTTCGTCCTAAAACTTTCTTCTCGTTGCGCAAAACGAAGAAAAACTCCAAGTTTTTTCAATCTATTTTATTTAAATATTGGTATAGAAATAAAAAATAAAACATACATATTTAAAAACTACATCAAAAGTTCAACAAAACAAGTGGTAACAAGAATATTTTATTTTATCATATAGGCCATGAAAAAACACAAATAAATATAAATTCCCATAAAGTTGGAATAATACTCTAAAAAAAGTTTTAGGACAGAGGAAGTACAACGTGGGGGTCACACATATGTCGTAGGACAAACAATTAAATCATCCACATCTATACCCTTTCATCCTAAAAAATTTGGGAAATTTATCTAAATAGTATTAAAACATAATGACTTTCTTAATGTAGTACCATATATTTTTATTTTTTAATGTAGTACAATTCAATATCCACTGGTCATTGCTCAAACAAATATCCAGCGCCTATGGACATTATTCAAACTAAATAATGTCCACCATCACTGAATATTGTTCCACCATTAGACATTACCCAAAAATATAAATTTGAAAGTCATATTTTAATACTTTTGTGACGCTGCCTAAGAAAAATAGATGTATTGTGTTTTTCTATACATATCTAAAAAAGCGTTTTTCTGCAGAGGAAACAGTTTGATGATATGTGGAGCGACCTTCCCTTTGATCTCTTAGCTGAAATCTTCTCTTCCCTCTCCCCCGACACCTTCGTCCGCGCCAAGTCCGTCTGCAAGAACTGGGCTGCTTGCGCCGCCGCGTCGCCTCCGTGGGCACGGCGGAACAACCTCCCCTGGTTCGTTGCAATGCCCGCTCGGGCCCACCACCACTTCTTCTTCTGCGCGCACAACCCAACTCAAAAAGGCGGGTGGCACTTGCTGCCCTCCGGCCTCATCCCTCCTCCGGTCCGCCCGGTGGCATCCGTCGCCGGAATGGTGATACTCCGGCTGGGTACAGCCACCGCTCTTCAGCTTGCAATCTGCAACCCTTTTACCGGCCAGTTCCGCCGCCTCCCGGTTATGAACACCGCCAGGACAAATCCGGCGGTAGGGGTGGTCCCGGTGAAGGAGGAGGAGAAATCGGGGTACAGAATCTACGTGGCCGGCGGGATGTCGGAAGGCGGGAGAGGCGGGGCGTCGTACGTCCCGACAGTCGAGACGTACGACCCGAACCGCGACAAGTGGGCGTTGACCGGGTCAATGCCAATGGAGTACGCGGTGCGCCTCACCGTGTGGACACCCCGAGAAGGGGTGTACAACAACGGGGTTTTATATTGGATCAGCTCGGCGCGAGCCTATAGCGTGGTCGGGTTCGAAGTATGGACAAATAAATGGAAACAATTTAAAGTCCCAATGGGGGAGAGTCTTGAATTCGCGGCGTTGGCAGTGAAAAGGGGAAAATTGTTAGCCTTGGGTGTTGGGGAGGCTTGCGACGGGGGAGGGGCGTGGGTGTGGGAGCTCGGTGCGCCGGAAGACGACCCTTGGAGGGTAATAGAGAAGGTGCCATTTGAAATGGGGAGAAGATTGGTGTGGGGGAAAGGGAGTTGGGGGGATGTTAAGGGTGTGGGGATTGATGGAGTGGTGTGTTTGTATAGGGATTTAGGGGAAGGGGTGGTGGTTTGGAGGGAGTGTGGGGAGAATTTTAGGGGTGAATGGTCTTGGATTGAAGGGTATGGTTCACTTAAGGGTAGCCAAAGCTATATGCACAACCCCAAAGGACTACTTTTGCACCCCAATCTTGACCTTCTTCCATAATCCCTCCCCTACCCCCCCCCCCCCCCCCTTCTACCCCGGGGTCGGGATGACATCCGAACTCGAGGATCGATGTTGTTTTTCATAAACTGACTCTGTGAGTAATATTAAGCCTCTTCCATTTTATCGTCAGACTGGAGTGATACCGTAATTAAGTGTAAGCTCAATCTTACTTATTAAAATCATGTATTTGTGATTATCTCTTGGGTTTAATGTAGCATTATTGGAATAAAATATTGAATATGTTTGGTTTGCAAAGGGAAAAAAAAAGAAGTGAATTATTGTGAGTGTGCATTAGGTGTAACAAAGAATAAGAAAAGAATGGGTTCCAGCTGGGTGTGTCCTGTGAATTTGGACGCTTTCCCATTGTACAGAGTATTATTACCATACAAACATAATATTTTTCATGTACTCAATTATTGTGTACATTTTTCTCTTCTGGACGTGGGCTGGGCTTATATAGCACTAACACCTGTCCCATGTGTGTTTTGGACTTTTAGGCTGTAACCAAAACTATGGAGATTTTTTTAGAAAAATTAGATTTTATTGATTTTTTTCTAAGTTGTATTTATAGTTGCAATTTTTAAAAAAAGTTGTGTTTACACTAGTTGCATTGCAAAGTTGATATACTAGTATAACTTCTTCATTTTTTTAAAAAAAAAAATTGATAGAGTAAAAAAGTATATAGGTAAATTTTGTTTAGAAGGTGAAAAATGTCGTATTAAATCACATAATCTTTTCTTTTTATAAGAAAAATAAGAGAAAGTCTGAATTTCTTTTTGAAGGAACTACCCATTTTGAAAGTCTTACGATTCTCTGTTAGGCTCGGGACCGAAGTAATGAGCTAAGGAGTTCATATAATGTGGAAGGGGTGACGACGTTGCTTGTCGGGACCGGGGGGAGGGGCTCGGGTGGGTGGTGCTCTCTGCGATGCTAAGGAGTTCATCTAATGTGGAAGGAGGGGTGACGACGTTCCTTGCCGGGGCAGGGGGGAAGGGGCTCGGGTGGGTGGTGCTCTCTACGAGTTGCTATATGTATAAGCGTCAACAAGAAGGCTATGAGAGGGGGTAACATGTTATATATTTTAGGGTGGATGATATCATAAAAATCATCAAAGAAGTTTGGTGATACAGAGTGTATGTTTCGTTGAGTTTGTTATGATAAAACTCATGTTCTAAAGGGGGTTCCAAGGGGGCTGTCGCTCCCTTGGCGGGGGTTCGAGGACAGCGCACCCGAGTAGGGTTCAAGGATCGGCAGCCCCTGCGGGGTCCAAGCTAAGGGGCAAAGCCTAGGATTTTTTTATTTTGGACACAGTGCTGTATTAAAATTTTAGGTGAATTTTTAATTTTTGGAATTTGGGTTTATACAAATTTCTAAAAAATTGCCACTTCTAAGTTTCGCGCGATTATACGTGAACTTTAGAGTAGAAAACGCGACTGCACATCTCTTCTCTCCGCTTCCATAAAACCCCGGCAAAGTTTGGTCGAAAAATACGGAGTACTTTAACAAAGGATTCCTATTTTAGTGCTTTAATATTTTTACTTTTATCGAGGGAGATTTTTTTATCAGAATAGGGCATTTAATATTTTAATATTTAAACATGATTTATAATGTTAACAAAACACACAGCAAAATGTCAACATATAATATCAAAAATCTTAAGAGATCATAAGTACAATCACCCGTGAGAGTAATAACTCTATGTTGTTAATGTGTTGAGAATACATAGACATAATACATTATAATAGTGTTATTAGTATATCAAAATTTGGTATCTTAGAGTACCAAAACTTCTATTTATATGATAAAAAAGAATACAATGCATCTTATTTTAAGCACATCTCTGTTGGAACCATCAATCAAATACGGAAACTTTTGCCCGTTCAAATTAGCTTATCAAACTTAACAAATACTTTCATCCATGTTTCAAAAAAAAAAACTTTGATCCAAGAAAGAAAAAACAACCAAGTACACCCTAACACTATTACGCCAAAAACATTCCAAGTAACGGCTCTCTCGGGTCTCAAAATAAATTAAATTTAATAAGTGTTTGTTTAGTATACGAAATTCGAGTTGAATTGAAAGTCAAAATTCTATGAAATTCATTTGGTACTATCAATTTTAAATCCACTTATTTTTGTGCTATCAAACAGTAAAATTCGAATTCTTATCCTCTATTCTAATTCCATATATAGTTATGTCTGTGTATTAAATAGAATCGGAGAGTATTTCTTTGGTACATCTAAGGTTAACAAAATTTTTATTGATTTTCTCACATAAAAATTAGTTTTAACTTTTTTAGAAAAATAAAAATGTTCATTTCAACATTAAATAAATGTTTATTAGCCTCGTACTTTTTTTTTTGAAGGAAACTACATAATATATTTCCATATAATTTACGGTTTATTACAAATATTTCTCCGTAAGAAGTAAAAAACAATAGAGTTAAAATTCATTTAAAAATTAAAATAGTGTGAGCTGCACATTGTTTTTTTAAGAGAATAAAGAAATACTTACTCTGTCATGGTTACTTGTCATGTTTGACTTTTTGCAATCAAACTGGATGGACTTCGAGAATCAATTAAATAGTATTATTATATACTTTCTATATTAATAAAATAAACTATTTTTTTAAAATCTTTTATTCTATACACAATAAATTCAATTACTTATTATATTTCTAATACCCCGGAGTATATATATATATATATATATATATATATATATATATATATATATATATATATATATATATATATATATATATATATATATATATTAGTTCCGGTGAGAATGCAATCTTAGGAGACAAATGAGAATGAATCTGGTGCTTTAGATTGTGCGATCTAAGGGTCGGGATTGCATCAAAATTAGGTGCAACAAAATGATTTGAAAATGCATCACGTCGAAATGCATTATAGTGCTTTGAAAATGCACTATCTCAAAATCTGAGCGCAGGATGCAATCTGAGTCGCACGATGCATCATGTCCAACGGCTAGATTTCATTCTCATTTCTCTCCACAAGGTGCATTCTTACAGGAAACGGCCCCTATATATATATATATATATATATATATATATATATATATATATATATATATATATATATATATATATAACTACCTCCATTTCTAGTATATGCTTTGGAAGTATTTTAGATAATTTAGATGGGACAAAAGTATTTTGCGGTACCCAAACAAATTAAGATGGAACCATTCTTCCAAACAATGAGGGTTCAATTAATTCACTTTGATAACAAAAAAATCATACTAGACAAGTATACTATAAGAGAGGTAACAAAAATTTATTCTAAAAGGAAGAGAATAAAATACCCCATCCTTTTTTTAAAACCATCCTTATTTATTGTTCGGGTCGTCACGATAATTTTTGTTTACGTATGTCTTTTTATTAGTCATTCCATAAAATAAAATATTTTTATCACTACTTATTTTATAGATTTTTAGATGTAATTTTTAAATATATAATTTTACTTTTTTATTTTTATACCAATTTGTTAATAAAATAATTTAAAAAAGATAAAATCTTGCATTTAAAAACGAAATAGAAATTGTTTTAAGACTCAATTAGGAATTGTTTTTAATCATCCATATACTATTAGGAAAGAAACATTCAAATGAGAAAATAGGAAAAAGTTTTGCAATCCAATCTCGTATGGCCGGGGCCCCACAACGGGCAAATTCCAACGGTAACAACGTTATATTTATCATTGACTTCCCCTTTTCTCAAATACGGGGCAGATTTTTTTATCAAGTCTCCATTCATTCTAATTTAGTACTGTAATTTGTTGGGACAAAAGTTAATAAAATAAAAATTCGAGTAATTATGTTAATGTAGATGGGCCAAATTATGTTTTAATAAATTTATTTACAGTTATAATTACGTATTATGTTGAACTCTTTAAATTATAACATATTTTTTTTTTAAATTTATTTTTGAATTATTTGAAAGTATTTTGAATGCGTCCAAACTAAATCATAGCCCACAAGTACGAGGTGCCCACAAGGACTAAATCGAGCTTCATTTTTTAGGTCCGCTATGGGGGCCAAAATAGACTCGAAGCTAAAAAAAACCTTGACTCGTATCAGTATAATATATTGATTCGATCTAAAATGGTATCCAACTCGTGCTTTGATCACGCATTCATCATGATTACGGAGTATTATATCAAACATTTTAGATAACAAAATTTTATTGTTTTTTGAAATTTAATTTTCAAGTTATTTAAAATTTATTTTGAATGCAACCCGAACTCATTCGTATGTGAACCAAAGTAGACCCGAAACTAAAACAATCTCATAATGTTACGTACTTTGCGTAAAATATCAGTTCAATTTGAAACGCTATTCGACCCGCACTTTGATCCGGTCTAACGAACGGGGGTTTTGGAGCTTGACCGGTAACCTAACCCACGCCAACCTCTAGATCCACAGTCCAATTCAAATACGTGTGGGGTTGAATTAACCGACACGGTAACAATTCCCCTAAAACGTGTCCAGCTCCAACTCTATCACCGCCTTTCTTCTTCTTCCTCCCCCCTCTCTAACCGCCTATATATACTTCCCTTCCTCCCCTTTCCATCCCCATCTCGAAACCCTTCTTCGTTCTCTCTCATCGTAAACAGATTCAGTCCATCTCTATCTCCCTCTTGAATCGGACTCTGTCTAGCTCGAATTCCTTGAAATCGTGAAAGAATGGCTTCTTCCAGGGCGGTTTTGGCTTTGATTTGTGTTCTCTTCGTCGGATCTGCTTTTGCTCAGGCTCCGGGAGCCGCGCCGACCAGATCTCCGACTCCAGTCGCGTCGCCGACGAGATCTCCGTCTCCAGTCGTGTCGCCGCCGCGGAAGGTGGTCCCGGCTCCGGTTTCTTCCCCAGTTGCGTCTCCGACTTTGGCTCCAACCGCTGAATCTCCTGCTGCTGCTTCCCCGGTGAGTTCTCCGCCTGCTCCTGCCATCGCAGCGGCTCCCGCCGGATCTCCGGCATCCGGCGTCGCTCCGTCCGTTGCGCAGACTCCCGGCGATGCTCCGGCCTCCACTCCGAACGGCGCCGTTCTGAACGGAGCCGCACTTATCGGATCTGCAGGTGCGGTGTTCTTCGCCGCCTCTCTGCTGTTCTAGATCTGACGCTGATATTTATCGATTTTAATTTTATTTAAAATACGTCGCGCGCTTGATTATTTTAGGGATCTCTATACATATTTCAGACATTCAATTTTTTAATTTGTTTCATCTTCGAGTATTTATCAGTTAGTGTGGAGAGTAATAGCCATTAGAGACCTGCTTGTATTCGCATTCCGTTGCTGTTAAATATTATTGCCATTGATTATATTATGATTCTTCTTATGTATTTATACATTGTTAAATTCTTTCTTCAATTTCTTCTGTCTTTTAGCAAACAACTAGTTTCTGTTTTGTCAGGTTTAAGACCAAATTTGACTCAAATTGCAAATTCCAAGATTTTAAGTTTTGAAATTGGAATCTGAATATTTAAGTTTTAATTTTAATTTATTTCGAAGATCCATATATACCCAACTGTATTGAAGAATTTCACTAGTATGAGTTGGTTTGATATTGTCAAATATCAACTAATTAAAATTAGGAATATTAGTCAACACTATGTTTTCATTACTTTTAATCAGGTGAAGAACCTTCAAAGGATTGTTTTTTTTCATATGTGATCCAAATTTGTTTAATTTGACTGAACAAAATGTACATTACACATTTATGGAGTGACAAATAATGTTTTGCAAAATGTGAATTTTGTGGAGTACATTGTCTTCAAAAGACTTGAAACATGGACATTCTGAAAATAATGGTGTTGTATTCAAGTTGCATTAATGTCTAACATTAATGTATATTCACTTCGATGTCAAAAGAGATTGGTCATGTAATCTTTTTTGGTTTCTCAAATTATTGCTTGTTTTACTAATTACCAAGTTAAATTTTATTCACTTTTTTTTATTTTCATTATTTTTTTTGATAAAATAATATAGTCTATGTCTTCACTAATTTTAAAGATCTATTTATGTAGTTTTTAAATATAAATAAATTTAATTGTTGATTCTAGATCATTTTTCATATAAAATACTTTATCCAAATATCATAAATCAAAATAGATAATTTAAATTGGAAAATGAGCTAAACAAACAAACAAGCTAATGCGCCAAAAAGGACCCTTGGAAAACTTGTCCAATGATAATGAATTAATGGCCCTTTACTGGAGTTACTGCTATAATCAAGAAGTCCTCTTTTGTTTTCTTCCTTCTTTTACAGTTGAGTTGAATTACAAAAAAAAAAATCACTTTTTCTAGTTTGTCATTTCTAAAAGAAAAAGAAGGATTAAATGTAATCGTTCTATAATTTGAATTGCAAATGCTTTTTCGTAATAATATTACTTTCGTCCTTGAATATTTATTCGGTTTTAAAATTCTGTTGTCAATCACTTGAAACTTATGACATATAATTAAATAAAAATAATACTCCCTCCATCCTTAAATGTTCTTCCCACTCACTTTTTTCACGGTCAAACTTTAATCATTTTTTTTACCTATTTTCATTAGATATTTGATGAAATAATATAGACTTGTCACCACTTGAATTGAAACTTTAATCACTTTCTTTATCTATTTTCATTAGGTATTTTATGAATTATTCTTATCCTAGTATTTTTGAACCTTCTCCGATTTGTCGAAATCATTCGTAGTCTCTTCATTCTTGAGACGATGTGCTTCTTCTCTGATTCTGATTCCGATTCCGATCCCAATTCCAATTCATCGGCAGGCTTCTTCATTCGGATTCATCCCGACCTGCAATTGCTTGCATTAGATTTCAGAACATACAATAATTGAGGCTCCATTTGGTACACAGAATTCAAACTATGAAATTGGAATTGGGGACAATCATTCCAATTCTGCTGTTTGGTAACACACAAATATGTGAATTTGGAATTGGTAGTGCTAAAAATGAATTGGAATTGGATAACTCAATTTCATCCAAATCAATTTAAAATAGAATTTCAACTCTCAATTCTAATTCTATCAATTCCGTGTACCAAACGGACCCTAAATGAATGCAGTAGTACATTGTGTTCATTCTGACCTGCAATTGCTTGGACCTTGTTCTTCCATTTGAACTCGCCCGCCACGAGATGACGTACTTCTCCATTTCCAATTCTTCTGCCTCTGCCGCCACGTGCTTCGTCATACTACGTGTTCCCTCTGCATATGACCAATGTACATTAACAACACATATCCAAATTTATAGCATGCCACCTCAAACACGGACAAAGATGATCTTTCCTTTTTTTCATTCAAAATTAGTTTTCTTACATATTTATTTGGGTGATCATTTAATCGAGTGATTTTTTTAACACTTTATTCTTCCCAACATTTTCCAACTTCTTCCAGTCTCTTCCAACATTCAACTTTAGAATTCCAACCGAAAAGAACATGCCCTTGATGTGAAACAGTAATGCACTATGAACAATTTCTGGAAATTCATCAACACAAACAATGACATGAACTCTTCTTAAGAATTATAGCATACCAAAGAGATGCCTATATCACACATAATAAGACAGAAAGAACAATAGTGAGAAAAACAAACAAAAGAAGTCTGCATCATACCATTGGAACCAGTAGCATCCAATAGTGAGAAAAGCAAATGTTCAATGTGCCAGTAAAATTTGTGTTCTTTCACTGAGCTTTAGACCTCTGTTTACCATCTCGTCGCGCAATTCAGCCGCTTTATCCAGTTTTCTAGCAACACAGCACCAATATATTAAAAGATCATAAGCCACCCGATCGGGTTGCACCCCACCACCAATCATGGAACCCCACATCCTCATCGCTCCATCCAAATCGCCCCTCCTACACAGCTCGTGGATAACCGTGGAATAACTAACGCAGTCTGGAATGATCCCTTTCTTGCCCATCTCAACTAATGTCTCGTTGGCTTTGTCCATTTCACCCGATGCACAAAAACCCCGAATCAGTATGTTATAAGTGACAACATTTCCAAGAAAGCCCTTCACCATGGTGTCATGCAACTCCACTGCCTTCTCCATTGACCCGTCTCTAGTTAGGCGGTCAAGAAAACAAGAAAAAGTGAACCCATTTGGTACCAAACCAATACAAATCAACTCTTTGCACAAAATCTCTGCTTTATCAACTAATCCAGCCTTACACAAACCGTTTATCAACACGGTGTAGGTTAGAACATTAGGAGAAACATTCCCTTCACTCATCATTATGTCCCAACAGCCAAATGCCTTCTTGAGATTGCTTCCTTTCCCATATGCATCAATGAGGTTAGTGTAAATCACATTGTCTGGACTCAAACCGTCTTCGTGCATCTTTTTCAATATGTTCATTAGTTGTTTCTTGTCGTGTTTTAATGCCCCATGTATGAGAGCGCCGTAACAAACGACATCCATCTTCATTCCATCAATGGCAGTCAATGCGTCTTTGACTCTTCCCTCCATGCAAAGACCATGAAGAAGAGCAGAGAAGCACATCACGATTGATTCATGGCTTTCCTTTTTAAGTTCTTCCATGAACTTCTCTGCTTCATTTGTTCTACCTATAGAGCAAAGACCCGTTATTAGAGACCTATATGTGTACGTATCAGGGGAGAGACCCCTCTTTGTCATCTCACCAAAGAACTCAAATGCCTTCGTGGTGTTTCCGGCTTTGCAGTGCCCTTCAATCATGACATTATAGGTCACCTCGTTTGGAGTGACAGTATACCTAAACACCATCTCATTGAACATTTTTGTTGCTTCAACAAGCAAATTGGCATTGCAAAGACCAGAGATAAGTGCCGTGAAGGTGTAAGTATTTGGCAAAATCCCTCTTCCTGTCATCTCATAAAAAAGTTTAAGCCCCTTGTGAATTTCCCCTTCCTTGAAGTAGCCATCTATTAATGATGTATATGTCACGACGGTTGGGTAGATTCCTCTATCAAACATCTTCTTGAGCATACAATGGCCTGCGCGAGAATTTCCCGCCTTGCAGTAGCCATTGATCAGAGAGTTGTAAGGATAAACAAATGGTTCTGTCCCGGAACGAAGCAAGTCGTTGAAGACCTCAATTGCTGTATCCAATTTCCCATTTTTGCACAGTGTGTCGATAATGACCGAGTAAGTTATTCCATTTGGTAACAGCCCGTTCGCTTTCATTTTTCCCCAAAGAAACATTACCTCTTCAAATTTCCCATCTTTAGATAACAAATTCATTAAATCGGTATAAGAAACTAAACCCGGCACCACGCCAACCTTCATTCCCTGAACAACCAAGGCAAACGAAGCCTTAAGATCCCCATTTCTCCTCAGTCCATCAGCCACAGTGGATAGAACACCCGTGGTCGGAATAAAACCCAACCCCAACATCTCATCCACCAATTCTTGAGCACGATGGAATTCATTCACTCTACAGAACCCAAGAACCAGAGTTTGGTATGTGACCAAATCAGCTTTCAACCCCTTGCAACCCAGCAAGTTTTTCACCTCAATGGCCTCCACCACACCCCCACACTTGCACAACCCATGAATCAATGTATTATACATATAGACATTCAACTCGCACCCACTCTTCTCCGCACGCTTCACCATTTCCTTGGCCTTGTTAACATCCTTTAGCTCACAAAAACTCTTGACCACAGCTGTGTACACGTAGCAATCTGGCCGAACACCCCACCCCACAACCTCTTCAAACAAACTGATAGCCAAATTGTATTGCCTAATTCGGATAACTCCACCGAAAACAGAACCTAAAGTCCTAACCTCAGGAATTATTCCTAAATCTCCCATCAGCCTCACAATCAACACAGCATCCACTACTTTCCTGTTCTGAACATAGCTCTGGATCAGCAAATCGAACCCGGAAGTGGAAGAAAAATCAAATCTTTTGTAGGAATTAACAAATTCATCGAAAACTAATCTGGGGTTCAGTCCCCTCTGAAGAAGGGTCTGCAAGAGCGAACAAGCAGGCCAGAAATGACTCGACTGTACTAAAGCATGAACCAGAATGCAGAAAGATGTGGTGGAATGGTGAAAGCCGTAATGAAGGCCCAAGAAATTGAAGAAGCGCAGAGCTAACCTGGAGTCGTGTAGGTTACGAAGAAGGACCCGCTCGATGTGGGTCGGGTTTAGTCGGGTCGAAATGAACGGGTCGGCAAGGGCGATTCTCCAGCTCTGCTTCCCCCTAACAATGGCGTTTAGGGCTCCTGTGAAATTTTCGTCATCATCGTCAAATTGGGTGTGCTCTGAATTCTTGAATGTACAACTGGAGGGCACGGT